ATGGGTGCCAATCTGGCACTTTTCACCCACACTGAATTCACCTAAAATTTTAATAAAACAGTATCGTAGAATCATAGAATAGTAGGGCTGGAAGAACCCTCAGGAGGTCATCAAGTCCAACACCATGCTGGAAGCAAGACCAACCCTAAATAAATCATCCCAGCCAGGATTTAGTCAAGCTAGGGCTTAAAAACCTCTAGGGATGGAGATTCCACCACCTCCATAGTTAACCCATTCCTAACCACCCTGCTAGTAAAATAGTTTTTCCCTATATCCAACCTAGACCTACCCCCCACTCTAACTTAAGACCATTGCTCCTTGATCTGCCATCCATCACTACTGAGAACAGCCTCTCTGCATCCTCATTGGAACCTCCCTTCAGGAAGCTGAAAGTTGCTATTAAATCCCCCCTCACTCTTCTCTTCTGCATATTGAATAAGCCCAAATCCCTCAGCCTTCTTCATAAATCGTGTGCTCCAGTCCCCTAATCAATTTGGTTGTCCTCCACTGGACCCTCTCCAATGCATTCACATCCTTTCTGTAATGGGAGCCCAGAATTGGATGCAATACTCTAGATGTGGCCTCACCAGTGCAGAATAATCACTTCTCTAGATCTGCTGGCAATGCTCCTCCTAATGCACCCTAATATGCCATTAGCCTTCTTGGCTACAAGGACACACTGTTGACTAATATTCAATTTCTAATCCACTGTTATCCCCAAGTCCATTTCTGCCGAACTAGCCAGTCGGTCCCCAGCCTGCAACAATGCTTTGGGTTCTTCTATTCGAAGTGCAGGATTCAGATTTCTTTTGGCCCAGTTCTCCCAATTTGTCTAGGTCACCCTGGACCCTTTTCCTACTCTCCAACATATCTACCTCTCCCTGTAGCTTAGTTTTATCCTCAAACTTGCTGAGGGTGCAATCCATCGCCTCATCCAGGTCATTAATGAAGATGTTGAATAAAACTGCCTCTTAAGCTGATCCGTCCACTTGAAACCAACCGCCAACCAGGCATCAAGTCCTTGATCACTACACGTTGGGCCCGACAATCAAGCCAGCTTTCTATCCACCTTACAGTCCATTTATCTAATCCATACTTCTGTAACTTGCTGGCAAGAATATTGTGGGAGACAGTATCAAAAGCTTTGCTAAAGTCAAGCTATATCACATCCACTGACTTTCCCATGTCCACAGAGCCAGTTACCTCATCATAGAAGCTAATCAGATTGGTCAGGCATGACTTGCCCTTGGTGAATCCATGTTGACTATTCCTGATCACTTTCTCCTCTTCCAAGTGCCTCAAAATGGATTCCTTGAGGATCCTCTCCATGATTTTTCTGGGGACTGAGGTGAAGCTGACTGGTCTTTAGTTTCCTGAATTGTCCTTCCTTTTTAAAAGATGGGCACTAGATTTGCCTTTTTCCATTTGTCTGGGATCTCTCCCAATCTCCACAAGATTTCAAAGATAATGGCCAAAGACTCTGCATTCACATTTTCCAACTCCCTCAATACCCTCAGATGCATTGAATCTGGATTTATGGATTTGTGTTTGTTTAGCTTTTCTAAATAGTTCTTAACCTGTTCTTTCTCCACAGAGGTCTGCCCACCTCCTTCCTCTACTGCGTTGCCTAGTGCATTTGTCTGGGAACTGCCCTTGTCTGTGAAGACAGAGACAAAAAAAGCATTGAGTACTTCAGCTTTTCCCACATAATCTGTCACGGGATTATCTCCCTCATCCAGTAAGGGCCACACACTCTCCCTGATCACCCTTTTATTTCTAACATGCCTTTTCTTGTTACCCTGCACATACCTTGCTAGCTGCAATTCCAGATTCACTTTCACCTTCCTGATTACTCCCCTTCATTCTTGAGCAATATATTTATACTCCTCCCCAGTCACCTGTCCAAGTTTCCACTTCTTGTAAGCTTCCTCTTTGTGTTTAAGCTCACCAAGGATTTCCCTGGTAAGCCACCCATGTCACCTACCATATTTGCTTTTCTTAATGTGCATCGGGATTGTTTGTGCCTGAGCCTTCAATAAGGCTTCTTTAAAATACAGACAGCTCTCCTGGACTCTTTCCTTCTTCATGTTAGCATTCCTGGGGGATCCTGCCCATCATTTCTCTGAGAAAAGTTTGCTTTTCTGAAGTCCAGGCTATGCTGCTCTCCTTTCCTCTTTTGGTTAGGATCCTGAAATCTACAATCTCATGATCACTGCTACCCAGGTTGCCACACACATCTACTTCCACTTCTAGCTCCTCCCTGTTTGTGAACAAAGGTCAAGCTGCACATGGACCCTGGTCAGTTCCTTCAGCTCTTGTACCAGGAAGTTATCCCCAACATTCTCCAAAAACTTCCTGGATTGCCTGTGTACTGCTGTATTGGTCTCCCAACAGATGTCAGGGTGGTTAAAGTCCCCCATGAGAACCAGAGCCTGTGATCTGGAAGCTTCTCTTAGTTGTCTGAAGAAAGCCTCATCTGCTTCATCCACCTGATCTGGTGGTTTATAGCAGACACTAACCACAACATCACAGTAAACAAATTCTTCCTTGATAGCAACAATGAAAGGGGACATTTAAAAAAAACTAGATATGTATAAGAAACTAAATGAGGACCAGAATAATGGTAGAGCAGGATCTTCAACTTTTGTAAGTCATGGGAGCTCTGTTGAAGTCAGTGAAGCAATGTTATTTTACACAAGTTGAACATCTGGAAAAAAGTGTACCCCACCTTTCTGCCAAGGTTAACTGAGGAGACACATTTATTTTATGTTGAGCTGCCATACTAGATATCAGAGCAAGACGTACAGTAAATTGTATTGACGTAACACTTCAGACAGTACTAACTTTCTTGTCTTTTGTCCCTGTGAGC